CCTTCCCCCCCCCCTCCACGCTGTACTAGCTGCGACTCTCCTCAGGGCACCCACGGCACGCGCCCGGCCACGGAGAGCAGCTCTTTCAACCCTCCCTCTCCTGTTCCCGCCCGGCCTCTGAGGGGGGCAGGAAAAAGCGGCTCTCCCGGCCCCCCCCCCCCCGTGAGGATTTCCTTGGCTGTAAATGTCGCTCGCACCCTCTGGGAAGCTCGAGCCTTTTGTAGCAATGCTATAATTAATACTCAAAATAATAATTAGCGTTTTCTGTTTGTGTGGTGCTTTGAAGCCAGAGATCCTCAAGGGCAGAGAAGGGGTTTGGTTCTTCCCGGGTCGCAGCCCGGGGCGCCCTAATGCTCAGGTTTTGCTAATTGGACAAGTGGAGGAGCTCCCTCCTTCCCCGCATAGCGGGACTCAGGCGTGGGGTGGCCAGGCTTGAGACTGGACAATTAATAAAGTAATTGCTTAATGATGGGCTTCCTCCCCCACCCCTTTTTTTTTTCACTTAGGTGAATATATAGATTGTGAAGTGCTGGAAACTATCTTGCCACCATCAGACTCCCCTAGAGTGAAGACGGAATTGGAGTAAGCAGGCCAGGCATCGGTGGCTCACACCTGCAATCCTAACTACTACTGAGGCTGAGGATCACGGTTCAAAACCAGCCCGGACAGGAAAGACCATGGCACTCTGGTCTCCAATGAACCACCAGAAAACAGGAAGTGGCGCTGTGGCTCAAGTGGTACAGCCCTAGCCTTGAGCTGAAGAGCTGAGGGACAGCGCCCAGGCCCAGAGTTCAAGACCCACAACCGACCAAAAAACAAAGCAAAAAAAAAAAAAGAATTGAAGTAAGCATAGTCAAAAACTAGCGAGAGATTGTTTGCAGCCCTGAATCAAGCCATACCTGAAGGTGTCTAGAGAGCTCTTGGGTTTGCTTTGTACACTCAAGCCAACACAGTATCTCTTCCCCTTGGCTTTTTACCTTGAACCTGCTCCGGTTGCATTTAGGCCTCAGTCGCCTGAGCTCTAACGTTGGGCTTCCTAGTTGGTGACTGGATTCCAGGGCCTTGGAATCCTCAGGCCTGGCCCTTGAAGTTCTAAGATTTTCAAGCTACGAGGAGGTGAAAGGAAGCTGCAGGCCAGGACGAGTGTCTGGAAGCCAGTCAGCCCTGGGGCCTGGCCTGGCCTCTCTGGCTGAGGGTCTGGGATAGCACGGGCGCGGGGACACGTGGGCTTTCCTAGGCCTGACCTGGCCGAGTCCGGAGCAGCCGCTGGGCAGAAGGGCTGGCGGATCCCGGACCTTCCAGGCACAGGCCCTGGCCCTTGAGCCCCAGTGCTGACATCCTCCTACCTTGTATTGGAAAGTTTACCACATCTCTAACGCTAGGACACAGACGTCTCTTTATTTTGTGCCCCCTGGGAAGATGTTAGGTTGGCAGCTCCCGTCTTGGCCTCCAGGCCGACCCAGGAAAGTACGACTCCTAAGCCAGGTCGCTCCCTCGGACCTGGAGTTTTCGGTCGGTCGGGTCTGGGCGTGCCTCCACACAGCTCACCCACACCGGCGACCGTGGGGGCGGAGGAGGGATTAGCGCTCGACTTCCCACGAGCCGAGCGGCTATAACTATAATCCGAGGCTCAGGTGGGACTAGGAGATGGAGCGAAGTGCGGAGCAGGCCTGCCGTCCCGGCCGTTCGGGAGGCTGACCCGGGGACCGGCGATCGGAAGGCAGCCCGGGCTGCAGGGGCCGGGAGTACTACACTTCAACCAACCACCCCAGAGCCGCACGGGGAGCTGCGGCTGCAAGAGCGGAGTGCCAGGCTCCATCCCCAAACCCGACGCGCGCGCCG